GTTCACACAGAACCTGGATCCGGTTCCAGGTCTGGACAGGGCGTTCACACAGAACCTGGATCCAGTTCCAGGTCTGGAGGCAGGTTTAAAATCCTGAACAGATTCTACTAAAGTACTGGAAGAGAAGCAGGAGCGGCTGCACTTTACAATGAGGTTCCCCTCATTTAGACGGTCTATAGATCTGTTATTATTAGATCTGCAAACACTTTATAACCCAAAACTCATGCAGTCAGCATATAAAGTAGATGAGACGTAAAGCATTCTCTAAATATTTAGTTCCTTCTCCTTCATTCCAGCATCAATGAGACGTAAAGCATTCTCTAAATATTTAGTTCCTTCTCCTTCATTCCAGCATCATAAATCAATTAATGTTTAGAAAATGTTCACAGCTAAAACATCTATTAACTATTTATCAGCCTTCATTAGATCAGATGGAGGAGACGCGTCAGGGAGGAGGTTCTGATCCAACAGTCCCTCCAGCGGGAGGCGCTTCTCTGTTAGATCTCCTCTTCCTTCCAGCAGGAGGCGTTGTCTGATGCGTCTCCTCTTGCTTTCAGTAGGAGGCGCAGTCTGATGCTTCCCTCTTCCCTCCAGCAGGAGGTGCTGTCTCTGTTAGATCTCCTCTTCCTTCCAGCGGGAGGCGCTGTGGTTCCTCCCTGCCTCTACAGTCAGACCCTAAAGAGTTCTCCTTGTTTGATCTGCAGCTGATGGAGAACATGACGGAGCGGGTGAGGAAAGGCATCCTGGAGGCGGAGCTGCAGCTGCAGAAGGCCAATGAGGAGAAGCTCCTGGAGGAGGTGTGTGTCACGCAGCAGCTGCTGGTCTGGCTCCTGGCGCCTCCTAAGATCTTTGTCTGTGTTCCAGGGAATGCTGAGACAGCTCCCCCTGGTGGGCTCCGTGCTGAACTGGTTCTCCCCGCTGGAGAGCTCCATCAAGGGGAGGAGCTTTAACCTGGCAGCAGGTAGGCTACTGAACGTCTGCAGACTGTCTGGGATTGGAGGAAGGAGGGGGGACGAACCAAGCTGGGAGGAGGAGGGGGAGGAGGAGGAGGAGGAGGAGGAGGAGGCAGAATGAAATAGTTATGATGAAAATAAAAACCATCCAGTCAGAGATCATCAATGCTGCATGTTTTCATCTTCTTCTTTGACCCGTTGCAGACGGGCGTGTTTCTGTTTCCATGGTTACAGCCGTGTGCTTTAACCCCTCTGCTCCTCAGGTTCTCTGGACTCCACAGACGTAACGTACTCCACCAAAGCCCAGGCCGGCAGGATGTCCCTGCAGGACACGCCCAGCCTCCCGTCGAAGAGAAACCCGGGTAGGAGGCTCTGTTCTTCCTCACTGCGCTGCTTAACGCACGGAATGCTGCGT